CTGATCTCAGTCTCTTATGCGGAGAATGCCACTAGTCAGGTCAATAAAATTTAAACCCAATGGAAATGGGGAAGCAGAGAGCGAATTCTCTTATCGCTGAATTTCGCAAGTACGAGCTTCGCATATGAGGAATGAGAGTGCACTTCCTTCTGGGTATTCGAGTGATTGCGCGGCGAGGCCGTGTGTTTCATACTCTCTGCAGTGTCACCTAGATGATCGCCTGCGCTACACGTGGATAGATGTACAAGTTCAATATCAAAATAAGTATATTTTCAGATAGAAGGAAATTAAAACTTAACACCTATGTTATATCACTAATGATCAGAGTTCTTCATCATTGAAAAATCAAATTACAGGATGAAACGAAGACATATGCATCATATCGTAAGATTATGAAAAGAACAAATGTAATCACACTATCGACAAACCAGAACGAAGGAACAGAGAGATAAAAACTAAGAGAGTGAAAAACAATGGTCGAATAAAGTATTATGATGACAGCAGCATAAAAAACTATTAATTTTGCCTTGAGTATATTCACATAGAGCTATTTAACCTGGTGATGCACTGAGATGGCAAAAATATCTTGCTGAGAGCTGTTTCTCAAATAAAATCTCTTTGCAGCTCCTTAGGATTAAGATTAAATTGTTAAGATGAAAGTTTTCAATTCAACATCATGAATGCAAGTTTTTCATCACGATTACCAATGAGATATTACATATTGCCATGTGTGAGCACGGGCCAACTGAGGCGAAGACCCGAAAAATGTTACAGAAACAAACGGGTTATTTAATCAACACTGATTGGTACGTATCAGGCTCAACTCCTCGTTGAGGGGCCTTGCATGGTTTATATGTATATAGAATTTAGCTCAATAAAAGGTATTCTACTCACTTTAAAATGTTGTATTCTGGTATGTATAAAACTGTTTGCTGAATATCATATGGCAATTGACGCTGGTGACTCTGCTCCGTTTCTAGCGAAACTCAATGGCAATAAACTGCCTGTTTTGTATCCTCAATTGTGAATCGGCGAACAATCTACAATTTCATTAATGGGTCCAGAATTTTATGTTCATTCCATTTGCTAATCTTCTCATTAATCTTTAAACATCGAGGTCAGCAGCTGAATGATTACGTTGTCACCTGAACAGCTCATTAGCATATTTCCGGTGATCGAGCCCACTTCTCAATATCATTGTAATTAGCAATTCCCAAGTTATCTCTATACCCGTAGGTTGGTAGCTGCAGCGATTAAATTTTGTTTCAACACACGCGCTCCATATATTTACAACCGTAACAGATTATCTAACCTGTTTTATCACATCTCTTTTGAATGAACGTATATATGAAATTTTATGTCACGGGACCACAACCCCCGTGAGGATGACCCTAATAGCACAGCATAGTATTAGCAAACTGTCCTTCCAGTTATGCTGGTGCAGAAATGATACAGTAATGAAAACGAAGTACCGCGTTGTCCGATGAGCATCAAGACTTTTTCAGGCATTCGGAAAAATATTTTTCCGCTGTGTAAAGCTTTGTGGATTCCGACTGCCTCCATTCCAAAACTAGCCCATCTGCATTGATGAGTAATTAGCTGTTACTTCGTCGGCATTCAGTGTCTGGAATGACTCTGAATACCTAAAATATTGGAGGCCGCCATTACGCAAGCTGATCCTCACAACTTGGATTTATTCGAGGTCGACGAAAGATTGCCACTCTGACCACATACATTATCTTGATTGCTAGCAATCTAGACAAAGGCCATACGGTAGCGTTAACCATCAGTATCTATGGACTTCAGCTCGGCCTACAACATGATTCCACCACATCGTTTGCTGCTAAGCTTGGCGGATGCCGGAGTCAATCCTCGTCTTGGTACGATGCGAACTGCATGCTTCCGTGCCATAACGCAGTGCGGCCTAGCAAGAAGACTCCGATCAAGTTGGAAACCTTGTGAACATGGACTGCCTTAAGGTTCTGAGTCATCGTCTGCGTTGTTTGTCTTCCATATCAGTAATTGCAGGAGCCAACAGGGAGCTTCCTGCATAAAATGCACTGACAACGCATCTCTACGTGCACCCGTCCAGAATTGCGAAGATATGATGCGGCTGAGTAATACCGTACAGAACGTCTGTAGTTAGGCCAGCACAGCCGGACTTAAGCTGAATCCGTCCACATCAAACGTTTGTAGTATTTCGTCACACTCGTTTCGTCACAATACGGCTTTTAACTTAGGTCGAGATCCAACAGTCGTGAGTAGCGATGTGTTCTGCAGGAAATCAGAAGTCAAGTACCTAGAAGTTATTCCAGAGGAAAGCATGCATCGCAATTTGCATCTCAG